AAGATCTTTTAAAAAGTCAGCTTTCAGTTCTAAAATTTTAAAATTAAGAGATTCTGCATTTAAAAAATCAGACTTCTGTGTGTTTTTTAAAAATAAGATTGGTTCATTCTAGGCGTGTTTTCTTGGGTTATAAAACATTTTCGATGGTTCATGACTCTGATCTGCCATGATCCCATGACACCATCTTGTATTATATACAGGCATGTATCTAATACATTTGTGTTACCTGCTTGGCTCATTTAGACTATGTAGAGTCTAAACAAGGCTGCATGATATGGCAATGGGTCTGAAAAAGGGCAAGGCCAGACCTCTGTACAATTTGAACTCCAGAAAATTGGGAAATTATATATGTTGTGGCTTAGAGAACAACAGCCATTCTCATTCAGATTGGGTACCATGCTATTTATTCTCCAAACTCTCAGGCTCCCTCTTCTGAGCATAGACTACCATGGTAACAGCTCAGGTATTCTGGTCTGATTTGTCTAGTGTATCTCTCTTCATCTAGCAAAAAAAATTTTTAAAAAACCCAATATCACATTAACCACTCACAGCACAAGGCCTCCTGGTCCCTAAGATATCCTCACTAAATGATTACCCAATATACATTTTTCTTTTGACATTATAAAACTTAATGCTCTCCAATTTTAGGGACCATTCACTAGGTTTTTCATTATGGGACAAGGGTGAAAAGGCAAATTTGTTCTATGGTTAAAAATTGGGGCTCTGGATCAGAATTTCTTGGGTTTGGAATCTTACTTCCTGTGCTATATTGAAGAAGTAATGTAACATTTCTATGACTCAGTTTCTTCATCTATAAAAAGGTAGAGAGGATTGTGGATGACAATAGTGACCACTCTAAGGGACAATTGTGATATTAGCTAAATCAAGTCACGAGAAGTATTTACAACAGTGCCTGACACAGGTAGGTAGTCAGGAAGTAGGTAGTGTGAGAAAGATGTCAGCTATTTCTACCTACTTCTGATACTGTACTTAAGGAACGTTATTAGTCCCACTTGTCAAATGAGGAAACTGGATGTATGAAATAGACTTTTTTCAAGTACTTGTTTAAATGAGTCCTTCACATTAGTTTTCCGTGTTAACAAAAACCTAAAAAGGAAGAAAGAAATGAATCTTCTCACGTTTTTGAGAATTGGGACTTGGAAGACATTGGGGTTTGGCAAGATGAAGGCAATAAATCAAAGAATCAAAGGAAGTTGCAAAGCAGTTGCAGGCTGGGGACTTGGCCATCGTCCTGCACAGCCGTGGAATGGAACTCTGCGAGTCCGTGCAAAGCCTGCAGCCGGGAGGAGGGACACACTCTCCACAGGCTCTGGCGGGGAGATGGAGCAGCCAGCGTGACTCGGGTTAGCAGGAACCAGCATCTCCAGGCTGCTGCAGGAAGTGAGAACAGCGCTCCCAACGGTTCAAAGCTCCTTGGGATCTCTGCCAACATCTCCACGGAATGGCCCTGTCCTCAAACCAAAATCACTTGAATTTTTGAAAGTCAATGGCTGCATCCACATGAGAGGAAGTGGGTGGCAAAGGAAAGCAAACAAGGAGGTGGGAGACATAGAGGGGACCCTCTCCCTGGAAAGATGAGTCTTGCATCAGACTTTTAAGAAAAGATTTGGTGGGGACAGGAATAAACCTGGCAGCCTGTCATACATAGTGCCCCAAACTCGAAACAATTCAAAGGTCCATCTTCAGAAGAACAGACACAAATGTAGTGTTTTCACAGAGTGAAATACTATCCAGCAATGAATGAAACACAACACTCAATAGTAGGGATGAATCTTGCAAAGACAGTGCAATATTGAAGCAAAACACACACACATACACACACACACACAAAAAAAAAAACCAAAATGAGAAAGCACAAACCAATCCTGTTTTTACGTAACTTCTAAACCAGGTAATGTTCATTCCAGTCAGGTGTTCAAAGTCAAGGAGGGACCTGAGGTCTTTGGTCCTGTTTTTTGATCTGAGTGCTGACCACTCAGATATGTTCATTTTAGAAGGACCCAGACCTGGACCCATTTTTTTTAAATGCACTTTTCTGAATATATATTTCTGTCTTCTTCCCTTCACAATCTGGGATCACATTTGCCCTGAGGGGAACAGACAGCCCTATAGTCCTGGGTCTTCAGGGCTGGAGATACACAAACTAAGGTACCTCAGAGGTGCAGATCCAATTTGAGCTCTTATTTCTTGGGTATGGATGCTGGTTCTGAGTGTTGGGTGTCATGGTTATGGCTGTACCTTGGTTTTTCTCCTTGTCTCCTGATGCAGTTCTATGGGCCTGCAGCTCTCATTTTCCACTGAAATGATTTCTACAAAATACTATGCAATATGGAGCTCACGCAATGGCTAGACGCGAGAGACCACGTCCACGTCAACACGAGGTTGCCTCAGGTTACAGCAGTACAGACATCCGTCCCCTTCACTCTTAGTAGGACCCAGAGCAGCCAGGCATGAGCAGGAGCTTGGGCAGCCTTGAAGCCCAGTGGGAAGGTCTGAAGCAGTTCAGCGGCTGACACACAAGGGGTGATCTGACAAGTATCAGGGCCTGATTTTTCACAGGATTGGCAGTGCACAGACAGGGAAAAGGGAGAGGCTTTGCCTGTGGCAGTGGCGAGCAGGGTTACACAGAAGTCTGGAGGGAGCAGCCAGTAGAGGCCAGCCAGGTGGGTGCCTGCAGGTCCTGGCCGGGTGCCCCTGAGGTGGGAAATCACAGCTGTGCAGACTGGATGGATATGCCTTGTCTAGGCTGACTCTGGGCGGGTCGGCTGTCTTGGATAAAACAACAGAACATCAACGTGACAGTCCCCACGTTCTTGCAGACTTGAAAGGGAAATCCCCTGGGTTCTGACTGGACTCCTGGGGCCCAGTCTGGCCTGGCCAGGAGGCTGTACAGAGAAGGGATGGGGGAGGGCCGCGTGGGGTGTGTTGGCTCTTCAGGCCATCAGAGGTGCTTTCACCCTCTAAGGGTACTGTGGCCTGAGCCTCTTCATGCCTTCTTTTTTTTTTTTTTTTTTTTTTTTTTTTTTGTTTTTTCTC